TTAGAGCGTTGGCCCCCAGACCGAAGGGTCACGGGTTCGATTCCTGGTCAAGGGCACGTGCCTCAGTGGCAGGTTTGATCCCTGGCCCCGGTCGCGGTCGTGCAGGAGGCAACCAATCCATGTGTCTCATCAATGTTTCCCTCCCTTCCTCCCCCTCTATCTAAAAATCAATGGAAAAATATCCTTATGTGAGGATTAACAACAACAACAACAAAATCTAAATAAAAATAAGGCAGTCTCGAGGTGCTAGGACAACAGGTCCTATAAATGCTAGAGGATTGGTGTGGGGTTAACGGCAAACTGTGGCTCGTGGCCACGAAGCACCGTCAGGAGATGCCGAGGGCGCTGATGGAGGCCAAGGAGCCCACTCGGAAACGGGGAAGTTAGAGCGGCCGGCCCACGGAACTGAGGGCCTCAAAATGGGAACCGGGAGGAGGGGAACAATGGCGGGGGGGGAAGGGGGTCACCTGTAACACTCAACAATAAAAGTCTTTAAAAAACTGAATGGAGAAGTGTTATAACTGCCACCCTCAGTCTGACCCACAGTCTGTCTAGCCCAGTGATCTGGAGGTAAAAACAATCATTTCATTCAACAACTTTTGAATGCAAGTATTTGCTCAGGAGCAGCGTATGTCAGGTTCCCTGCAGTGTCACCCCACGTCCAGCCAGTATTCTCTCAGTTCCTCTTGGGTGCGCAGTGTGCGCGCCTCCCTCCGTGTCGTGGCCGCTCTCCGGCAGGCCGCGGGGGCCCGCGTGTGGCGAGGGGGAGCTGTGAGCATCTCTCACAGGCGAAAGTGAAGCATGCATTATTTAAGTCCCTTTTCACTTAACGTAGCAAACTAATATGCTGAGGTGTTCTCCGTATCGCAAGGGACCATTTGGTAGAAGCTTGCATGGAGTGAGCGGTTAATGTTTACTGAGTGAAGGTCTAATAAAGCTGAGGAGCTGAACACTTAAGTCAACACGGCGTGTGGGAGGGGAGGCAGCATGGTGTCGCGAGGAGAAATCACGCCTCGCTCATCTCCGTGACTTCTTTGAGCAGATAAATAAGCAGATGGAAAAGAGGGAGTCACAGAACCCAATTTAATTTGACTTTCAAAGACCTGTAGGAAAGTCTCACTCTAAAGATAGTTTCTAAAAAATGGAGTCACTAAGGGTTGTTTTATCATCAATATGGAATTGGCTCAAAGACCATAAACAGAGCTAAAGATAAGTGGACGCATTCTCAGATAGAAAAGTGTAAACATTATGGTTTCCTAGAGATCTCATCTTTGATGGGTCTTTTTCCATGTCTGTGGATGATCCCGGAGAGAGAGTGTATATTGACCTGTGGGTTCGGGCAATGCCTAGTTCTTCTAGGGAGAGTGTCAAGTTGATGGAGATTCAAGTCAGTTTGAATAAGAATATACTGGAGCCCTGGCTGGTGTGGCTCCGTGGTTAGAGCATCAGCCTGTTCACGGAAGGGTTGTGGGTTCGATTCTCAGTCAAGGGCACATACCTGGGTTGCAGGTTTGATCCCCAGCCCTGATTAGAGCACATGTGGGAGGCAACCGATTGATGTGTCTCTCTCACATTGATGCCCCCCCCCCCTTACTCCATTCTATTCTCTCTAAAAATCAATGGAAAAAATATCCTCGGGTGAGGATTACCAGCAGCAAAAGAATATACCAGATACTGAATAGTCGTTATGTCTTTGGGCCGTCGGGTACAGAAAGGTACTACAAGCCTTAAAGAGCTAATGGTCAAGTTGGGGTGAAAGGCGTACTTGCATGTACTGTGAGTGGCAGAAGGCACAGAGGATCAGTTGTGAAAATGAGGGATGCTGATGATAAATGTTATAAGAGTTCAGAGAAGGGGAGAAGTAAATGTGGACTGAGGTAGGGAAGGCTTCCTGGCGGAGGCAGAATTGGAGAAGAGCCTGGAAGAATAGGGTTTGGGATGGTGCTGAAGAAGGGGAGGTCTTCCTATCAATAGCGGCTAGTGCCTGCCGACTGCTTGTCTCGCTTGGTGTAAGGCAGGGTTTATATGTGTGATCTCATTTAGCTTTCAACAGCCCAGTACGGTAGATTATAGTTCCATCTCCCAAAGGTGGAAGGAGAAGCTTAAAGGAGTTGAGTAAGTTGCTCAAGTTCATTCACATCACTAGTTAGTGCAAGACACACTGTTATGCTGCCTCCAATTCTAGTGGGAGTGTCAGCATGAGCAAAGACCCTGGGGCAGGACTTTCCAGAGGAGGTTACAGAGAGAATGGAGAGTCTGGTCCAGCTGCAGTGACAGCTTGTGTCGGGGAGCAGTCAGAGGTGAGATGGGAAGATATGAAATGCATCTCAAGTACAGAGCCCTTAAATCTCGTTCGGGGAATTGAACTTTCTCTTGAGGACACTGTGTTGAGTGGAAGAAGAAAATTAGAACCCGCCCTGGCCGGTTTGGCTCAGCGGTTAGAGCGTCGGCCTGCGGTCCTGAGAGACCCGGGTTTGGTTCCTGCTAAGGGCGCGTACCTCGGTTGCAGTTTGTCCCCGGCCCTGGTCGGTTGTGCGGGTGGCAGCCACTTGATGTATTCCTTTCACGTCGATGTTTCTCTCTCTCTCTCTGTTCCTCTCTCTCCCTCCCACTCTACCTGAACAAAAAATGGAAAAATGTCCTCGGGTGAGGATAAAAAAAAAAAAAAAAAAGAAAATTAGTACCATATTCTGAGTTTAGGGCCTAGAGACCCTAGTCTGAGGTTGGAAAAAATTAGGGAGGACAGATGGTTTAGAGGAGAAGCAGACCGAAGCTGGGGCAACTTGTTGGTGCCCTCTGCTTGCTCGTGTGTGTTGAGTGTCTGTCCTTACTATAGGAATTAGAGGGCAGCCCTCTTCCAAGTCAGCTGTCAGGGTCTTGTGCCCTGGTGACATCTGGGTGTCCCATGAAGCAACCGGGAGACAATGGCTGCCGTGTCCCGTCTCACTGTCCAGGGCCTACGGGTACTCAAGAACCCGGGCAGGCTCCGGAACTGCCTGGCTGCCTGCTGGGTCGCGGCTTGGTGGTTGGGCTCTTGGACTCACTGGCTTCCCCCACTTCTTTTTATTATACTGATTTTTTAGAGAGAGAGAGAGAAACATCAATGTGAGAGAGACACATTGATCAGCTGCCTCCTGCACACCCCCTACTGGGGTCCAGGCACCCTGACCGGGAATCGAACCAGGACCTCTCAGTCCATGCGCCGACGCTCAATCCACTGAGCCACCCAGCCGGGCTTCCCCCACTTCTTTAATCAACACTCTTTGAGCAACAGTCGATAACTGCATTTAACCGTCAGACTCAGTCTCTAAGAGCCCCACGCCACAGAGGACCTTCAGGGGACTTTGAACAGGGGAGTAACAGCATGGCGTTTGGGGAAGAGAACCTAGAGGCAGCATGGTAAACGTCCACGGTCCCTTCAGCCATCCTGCCAGGTCCCCTTCAGCTGGTGGCCATGTGGTGTCTGGAACTGGGCATGACGCTTGGGGCTGGGAGATGAGTGTGTTTTGGGTGAGCAGCCAACTACTCAATGAAACCTTGACAATCCAGAAATGTCACCTGAGGCAGCTGTTATAGTCAATTCCTCCTATTAGTCATGTGACCCGGGTTGTCACTTCATCAGGCCTTAGTTTCCTTGTCTGTACAATAGAGATGCAGTCTCATAAGTGCTCATGAAATGTAACGAGAACAAAACCACCCTGGGTGGCTCAACCTGTATAGAGCAAGTTTCTTTTTTAAAATTATTTTTTAATTGATTATTTGAGAGAGGGAGAGGGAGAGAGAGAGAGACATCAGTTGGCTGCCTCCTGCAGGTCCCCTACAAGGGATCCAGTCATGTGCCCTGACCGGGAATTGAACCAGTGACCTTTTGGTGCATGGGATGATGCCCAACCCACTGAGCCGCACCTGCCGAGCCTATGCAAATTTCTTTAAGACTCAACCCCCAAGATCTCCCATCTAATAAGCCTTCTCCTATCCCCATCCTGAGTGTCACAGTGGTTTTTAGCACTTACCCTACCATACTGTGCTGGTCCCTCTGTCTGTCTGCCTCTGAAACTAGATTTTGAGCTCCTTGAGGACAAGGCTGAGTCTTCTGTTTCTTTATGATCAGCACCCAGACAGTGCCTGGTGTATGGCAAGGGTGCAAAAGTTTCCCAAATAACCAACACAAGAGTGACTGCATTACCTACTGTCCCCATAAAAATGGGCGATGAGTTTAATTTGAGGGAAAAAAAATGTTGGCACCTAGTGATTCTCTGAATTCTCACAAGCAAATATTTATTAATTCACTTTAGACTCTTTTTAAGAATCAAAATACATGCAATTGGTCTTCTCTGCTAGAATTCCTATCTCCCCACTTTTGGAAAGTAGGGACAAGGCTGACCTCTGCCATTTTCTGTCCCCTCGCCCATTCTTTGGGACTTGTCATCAAAGATAAAAAGTAGGAAATATACTTTCTAAGAAGATGGAATGTGTACATCCTTTAGCGGTTGGAGACTTGGATTGACATAAAGGGGTCCTCCTGCAGGCTCCCCTGCTACCTGGGGACGAATTTTCCTCGTCATGTTGCTTGTCTTTCCTTCCCAGACTTGACTTTTACACTCTCTGGGAAAGATGTCAGCACACAAGGCTCAACGTTTTTCTTTTTCTCTGATCTTTATTAACCTTGCTGGGTGTTCCTCAGTCGCTTGACCCACGGATTCCTTTAGCTTTGAACACAGCTTAAAAGAAAACTCCTGGTTTTAGGATTTTTTTTATTAACCACAGCATCTCTTGAGCTTTTGCTGTCTCGAAGCATTTCTTAAATGTAAAAGCCATTCTTTTGGACCAGCTCTGTACATCTCTTTTGAAAACCTGAATTCACTGGGGAGCTCAGTTTGGAGTTGAGCTGATCTAAACCTGGTAACAGGCCCAGTCATGTCCCTGTGAGATGTGATGTGCAGTCCTCGCATCTGAGAATAATTCCCCATCCATCCATATGCCGAAAGAAAACTACATACCATTCTGTTGGTAAAATTACTGAAGTTCTCAACTAACACCTGCTTGATCATGTCTGGCTCCGAGATAACAATAAACATCCGACGGCCAAGGTAGTACCTGGGAAGAATAAAAGAATAACTTTAAAATGTGTTGTAGTTGTCTGTCCATTTATCCTTTCCAAAAGGAATTCGCAGTGGCTTACAAGATAAATAGGAGGAGAAGATACAGGGAAGAGTGACTGCATTTCCTACTGCAGGATAAGAGATAAATAGGAGGAGAAGATACAGAGAAGACGAGGAAATGCATGTGCTAACCATGAGTAACAGTGTAGCTCAGATGATCGAACATTAACACTCCACGGATGTTTATGGAGTTCCACCTTGTACAAGGCCCTGGAGATTCTGGGATGAATAACACAGAGTCCCTGCCCCCAGGGAGTTCATAGACTGCTACAAGAGACAGATCTGTACATTTAAACACCATAATAAGGAATTCCTAAAGATCCGGCAGTAAGAGTAAGAAGGAAAATGGCAGAAGTCAGTGTTGTCCATATCGTCCAAAAATGAGGAGACAGCAATTCTAGAATTTAAAAAAGATGAATAACTTTCACGTACTGATTCTTGGACAAAGTCTGAAGTGCATTAATAAACATTTGTGAGAATTCAGGAAAGATGAAATCTTCTGGGGAAGGGCTGAACATCTGGTTGCCACACCTGTATATGAAGGACCTCAACTCAACAGATACTTGGACATTAATGAAGAAATGGAAGAAAGGATCAGCCAGCCAGCTGGTGCTACTGAATTCTAACTGAAGGCAGTGATTAAATACCTGCCTTGTTGTATTTATTTATTTTTCTTTCTTTCTTTTTTTTTTTAGAGAGAGAGAAAGGGAGAGACAGATGGAAACATCGATGTGAGAGAGAAACATAGATGGGCTGCCTCCTGCATGCCCCCTCCTGGGGACTGAGCCCACAACCTGGGCATATACTCTGACTGGGAATCGAACCAGGACCTCTCAGTCCATGGGATGACGCTCAACCCACTGAGCCACACCAGCTGGGCTGTTGTGTTTATTTATTAAAATCCCAGGGAGACAAAAGTAGACAAGACCCAGTCATAGCCTTCAAGCGTCTCCCAGTCTGGTGGGAGTAAGAACTGGGCAACCATCACACAGTGTGATATCTGGCAAACATGGGCAACATGAAAAGCACACCCAACTCAGTGCTTGGATGAGAGAGACTGAAGGCTTCCCAGAAGTGGTGTTTTTCAAACTGGGTTGTGAAAGCTCAGCAGGAGTTAGTCCAGGCAGGCGGGTGGCGAAGGTGGGCGAAGGTGTGCCCGGCAGACGAATCAGTGTGTGTAGCTGTCCAGGGACAAGCCTGCTTGGGGAACTGCGTGCTCAGCCACCAGCTGTGGAAAGCACACCATAGTCATGACAAGTAGGCCCCCTGCATAATGCCATGTTTTTAGTCTTTGCAATGATGCTTTCGGGATATAATTTGATCGCTGGCACATCTAGCTCAGAGCACTGGGGATAGATTTTAAAGGATACAGTCATAAGCCGTGGAAGCCGCAACATTTAGTCTGAATTCTTAGTTACTCCACATGTCTCATAAGCTAATTTAAAATTTTTAACTCTTCCCTTTCTCACCGGCTGTGGGGGAAAGGAAAACAAATACTTGTCTGGCACTTACTAAGACACTCAAAATAGTCACCTGAGTGATCATATTTTCCAAACCTATTAGGGAAATCTTGGGATATAGGAGTTCAACAACTGTGGTAGAAGAAAAGAAAGGATACTGACTAGTTTTTGTTGGTTTTAACTAAGGAGACCGAAAATAACACAGTAAGGCCACTAGCCAATCCTTTCATAAAATTGATGGAGAGTGTTGTGGCATTTCTTTGAAAGGCTCGTGAAAGTTATGGATATCTGCCTAAGAAGAATGGACATTGACAGCATTTTGTATACAATTCAAGGGGTTCTTGGACTCCTGAAGCCCACTCAGGAGCAGAGCTTATCAAATATAAAATGTGCTCAGAAGTCACCGAGATTTGAACAAATAATGGCTGGAAATTTCTCCAGTCTGACAAAAGACATAAATGTATAGATTCAAGAAGCTGAGTGAACCTCCGATAAGAAGAACCCAAAGAAACCTATGCCAACACATACTATCATTAAACATTTGAAAACCCCAAACAGGAAACAAATCTTGAAAGCAGCCAGGGAGAAATAATGTATTATCTATAGGACACACCAATCGAAAGGACAGCAGAGCATCAGAAACCATGGAGACCAAAAGGAAGTGAAGTGGAAGTGGTCCATTTTTTAAATTCTGAAAGACGAGAACTGTTAATCACAAGTCCTGCATCTGGTGAAAATATACTTCAGGAAAGAAGAGGAAATGACATTGTCAGATGAAGGAAAACAAAGAGAATTTGTCACTAGCAGATCTACCCTTAAAGAATACAAGCAAATTACATCCTGCAATTATAAAAAAAGAACTCTACACCACAACCAAGTGGTATTCTAACTATACATGGCTGACTCAGTCTTTTAAAAAACTCAATCAATATAACCACTATATAAACTGCACAAAAAATTATGTATTATTCAGTTGATGAAGAAAGAACATGTGACAAAATCCAACACTCATTCATGATTCAAAATTCTCAGAACAGAAGGGAGCTTCCACTTTATAAAAAAATATCTATGAGAAACCTACAAAAACCAGCTAACATCATTTTTAATGGTGAAAGACTGAATACTTTTTCCTGAGACTGGGAACAAGGCAAGGATATTTAACAGAGTTCTGGAACTTCTAGCAAGTTCAGTAGGGCAAGGAAAATAAAGAGCATATAGATTAGAAATTAATGAAATTATCCCTATTCTCAGATGACATGATTGTTCACATAAAAAATCCTAAGGGGGGGGTGGGGGGGAAATCCTGAACTAATAAGTGAATTCAACAAGGTTTCAGGATTCAAAATCAACACACACACACATAAACACAAAATCAAGATAGCATTTCTGGACACTAACAGTGAACATTCGGAAACCAAACTTAAAGCACAATGCCATTTACAATGCATATTTTAAAAAATCAAAGAAGACCTAAATAACTGGAGTGGTATACTATGTTCATGGATTGGAAGACTCCACACTGTAAAGATGTCAGTTCTCTCAAAACTGATCCATAGGTTTAATGCAGTTCCTATCAGAATCATAGTAAGAATTTTTGTAGGCACAGACAAGCTTATTTTAAAGTGTAGATGGAAAAAGGCAAAGGAGTTAAATAACTAAATCAATTTTGAAAAAGAAAAATAAAGTGGGAGAATCAGTCTACTGGATTCCAAGACTTGACTACAGTAGTCAAGGCCGGGTGTTATTGGCAGAGAAATAGCCCCATAGATGAATGGAACCGAGTACAGAACTCAGAAATAGACCCATGTAAATATCCTCAATCGATGTTTGATAAAAATACAAAAGCAAAGCAATGGGGGAAGGAAAGCCTGTTCAACAAGTGGTGCTGGGGCAACTGGACATACATTGGCCAACAAATGACCTCACACCTTATACAAAAATTACCTCAAAGTGGATCACAGATTTATATGTAAAACATAAAACTTAAAAAAAAATTACAATCTTTGCCCGGTCAGTGTGGCTCAATCGTTGAGCATCGACCCTTGCACCAAGAGGTCGCTGGTTCGATTCCCAGTCAGGGCACATGCCCAGGTTGTGGGCCCGAACCCCAGTAGAGGGCATGCAGGAGGCCACCAATTGATGTTCTCTCTCATTGATGTTTCTATCTCTCCCTCTCCCTTCCTCTCTCTCTAAAATCAATAAAGAAAAAAAAAAGATAATCTTTGGGATCTAGGACTAGGCAAATAGCTCTTAGACTCAAGACCAAAAGTACAACCTATGACAGACAAAAATTAATAAATTGGACTTCACCCAAAACATTTTTCTCTTGCTCTCTGAAAGACACTGTTAAACTGCAAAGGTAATCTACATGCTGGGAGAAATATTGCAAACCATATATCTGACAAAGAATTTGCAGCGAGTACATAATCTATAAAAAAGTGGGCAAATATTTCACCAAAGACGATATACAGATGCCAAGTAATCACATGAAAAGATGTTCAGTATCATTAGCCCTTAGGGAAATGCAAATTAAAACTGCAGTGAGCTATTTCTATACATCTATCAGAATGGCTAAAATAAAATAGTATCAAATGCTGATGAGTATGTGGAAAAACTGGATTACTCATATACTGGTAGTGTGAATAAAACAGTACAGCCACTTTGCAAAATAGTTTGGCAGTTTCTTATAAAACTAAACATGCACTTACTATATGATTCAGCAATAGCACTCTTGGGCATTTATCCCAGAGAAATGAAAACTTATGTTCCCACAAAAAAACACATGAATGTTCATAGCAACTTTCTTTGTAATAGACAAAAATTGAAATCAAATGTTCTTCAGTGGATGGATGGCTAAACAGTGGTACATCCATACAATGGAATACTATGCTGCAATAAAAAGACCCCAAACTATTGACACTTACAGTGATTTGGGTGGATTTCAAGGGAGCATGTGAGTGAAAAAAAAAGCCATTCTAGAAAGGTTATATATATATATATATATATATTTTTTTTTTTTAATTTTCCAAGCTTATTTTAAAAGATCTTTTATCATCTCTGCCTCTTCTTTTGAGAAAGAGTTTCATATTATGGGATCCGATTTGTATAACATTTTTGAAATAACAAAATTGTAGAGATGGAGAAGAGATGAGCAGTTGCCAGAGGTCTGGGAAGGAGTGGTGATGGGCTGGGTTGGCTGTAAAGGGAAGCATTAGAGTCTTTTGGTGATGGGACAGTCCTGTATCTTGGCTGTGGTGGTGGCTACACAAACCTACACGTGATATAATTGCTACACACACACACACACACACACGCATGCATGTAAACCTATAAAATCCGAATAAGCACCCTGGCCAGTTTGCTCAGTGGTTAGAATGTTGGCCCACGGACTGAAGAGTCCGGTGTTCGATTCCTGGTCAAGGACACATACCTTGGTTGTAGGTTCAGCCCCAGCCCCAGTCAGGGCCATGTGGGA